GGATTTTTCATCAGAGGTAAATACTTGAGCTCAAATTATGCAGAAACCACCTTCTCTGTTGAAATCAGGATATTTCAGTTACAAGCAGCATTTTGGGTATAAACTAAAATAAAAAAACAGATTTATTTTCCAAGGAACTGGAGTTCCAACTTTGGCATTTTTGGAGACTGCAGATTTATTTATGCGACGATGCTTGACATCAGCTAGTAATGTCAACTACTGTAAGGTGAAAGATGGAATTGTGAACATGTTACGTAATTGAGACCAATGTATCCCGTTATACTTTTATTTATAGTATACGTTATACAATTGGATTACAAATTGATTTCCATACTTGTGTTCCCATCAGTACAATTCGTTGCGTTCAATTGAAGTGAACTTCGTTAAGTGCATGCTTTGTTCTCGTAGTAGCAATACAAAGCTAACAACAATTAACACATCGTATCGTATAAAATTCGAAGCTGAGACGTGGGCAATCACAATACGGTTGATCCATCAGTTTAAAGTCGCTCTGCTATCTATGGAACGTGATATGCTCAGAGTTTCTCTGAAAGATAAAATTCGTAGTGAAGTTATTATAAACCAAGGTCATCGAAATAGCTCGTAAAATAAGCAAACTGAAGAAGCAGTGAACTGGCCGTATATTACGTAGAAGCGATGACCAATGGGAGAAATTACCCACTAAACCGAAAAGCAGTAATGTAGTAGTTACTAAACATTTAAGGGATTTATAGACCAAACCCGCCGACTCGACATAGCCCGGCGGGATGTTGTCGGCGGTCTTGTTTCTAGAATCATGTCGTAGGATTAGATTAGAAATAAGGTCGCCGATACCAAGCCGCTGGGCGTTAATAGGTTCGGTCTGTAGCTATCTCAAGCAACGGGAAGTGAACATGCCTACCGGATGAAGTGGCTAGCTGATCCGGGGTTAGAACCTGAACTTAAAAGGTTCCTGTGCACGCACAAATTATAATGCCCTTCTCGTATACCCTAAGGGTCGGTATATAGGGACGGTAGCCATAATTAAAACTAATGTATAAAGATATGGGGATGTAGACATCTTAAGGCCAATTCGAGCGTCGGAAATTCGGCATTCATAACAGCTGCTTTCCCGTGAATATGACGAGGTTAATATAACTGTGCTCCATTGTGAATGTGATTTAAAAATCAATCGTATATAACTATGTAGTACAAAATTAAATACATGTATTTTATGGTATCTGATTAACTTATTTTTTCCTATTAGTATAACGAGATCGATTGATCACAGTTATGTACTACAAGAGTATAAAATGAAGCACGAACGGCGTTTTACTATGTTATTGCAGCGGCCATGGGGCAGATAAAATTTCTTTTAGGCGTTCCGTTTATATACTTTGTTGGTATCGTGACAAGTGTAAGTAATTTCGATTTACTTGGTGTTCAGTGGAAATATATATCGGTAAGTTAATTTTTATTGATGTTTCCCATTAACCATGATATTTACTAGAACTGTTAGGCATTACTGCCAGAGCGACCAAAATTTTGAATGATAACTGTTGTCAATGTTTTGTTGTTTCAGCATCCAGAATCTAAATCTGATGATTACAAGCCCGCAAATACTTCAAGTGAAGATGTAGTACGTGCTGCTAAAGCTGCTCTAAATAGTTTTAAGCGACATGCAGTTGGTGAACTCGATAATTTTGGATTAGGTCAGGTACTTGAAGCTGAAGTACAGGAGATTGCCGGATTAAATGTAAAAGTAAAATTTTATGCCCGCAATTCAGACGCGCTCCTATACTTTTGTGAGGCATTGGTTTTTGTAAGTCTAATAAATGAAATTTCTGTAACGCATGTAGATTGTACACAAAACGGTTCCTACGCACAGAACAACACTTTACCCTATTTACACAACCAAACCCACCCTTTTCCACAGAATGACGCATTCCCATCTCCAAAGAACAACACTCTTCCCCGTCTACAGAGGAACGCTTTCTCGATTTCAGAGAACAACGATTTCCATTTTTCACCGAGCGACGCCTCCCCCTATCCACAGAACGACACATTACCCCCTTCACAAAATCATGCCCACCACTTTCCACAGGACGGCGCCTTCCCTTATCGACAGTACGAGACATTACCGTCTTCACCAAACCATACTTACCTCTTTCCACAAATTGACTCATTGCACTCTCCACAGAATGACTCATTATCCCTTTTGAAAAATCATATCCACCACTATCCACAGAACAAAACTTTATTCTCTTCACACAACCAAACCCACCCTTTTCCACAAAATGTCGCATTTCCGCCTCCACAGAGGAACGGCCTTCCCCGTCCATATAGGAACAAATTGTCATATCCACAGAACTCTGCCTCCCGTTTTCCACAAAATTACGCGTTCCCTTTTCCACAGAGTAACGCTTTCCTCTTTCCACAAAACAACGGCTTTCCCTTTCCACAGAACAACGCCTTCCCCTTTTTACTGAATAAGGCCTTCCCTTTTTCACAGAACAACGCCTGTCCCTTTCCACTGAATAAGGTCATCCCTCTTCCACTGATCAACGCCTTTCCGTTTCCACGTATAATCGCATTCCCCTATCCACTGCACAACCCCTTCACCTTTCCAAAGAACTATTTCTCTTTGTTTCCATTTCCATAAAAAAGAAATTATTTTCCATATACATACATGTTTTTTCTTATCCAAAATGCACGTCTTTTGATTTTACCTTTTCCATTGCATGATGAAATTATTTTTGAATAATAGGAATATGGCTCGAAATATTTTTAAATATATTTCAATCTGAACACAAGCCAATAATTAAATCATTGAATTGTTATTTTTAGAAATAACAATTTAAAGCTCTGAGTGCCTCTGCAACTGTTTTGGACAGGCGTGTAGCTTGCCATCAGGCGCATGACTTGTTCGTCCCGTCACTTAATATAATATAATATTTCTAGGAACAGATTTCTCACAGATAATAAAAAAATTAAGGACCTGCAACAAGCACTCAGAAAAATTTATAAGGTCCGCTAGTTCGTTCCGTGGCTTAGTTGTCAAGGCGCCTGGCGCAGTTTGCTGGAAGACGCTGGCTTGTAACTTGCAGCAAGGAATTTTTCCTTAGTGTTCGGTCTTTGTATTAATCATTATAACAAAGTAATGGCGTAATTTCACAAAAATAATTGAATATCATGGTGGTCAAACATTGTAACATTCAATAAACGTGAAAATTACAGAACATGCTTACAGATATTTCATGGGTAGTTTGCTTAAACTTGAAATAGTAACATTGATTAAACGTCAAACAAATCATTCGTAAGTCGGATTACCTTGAGAAGAGCGAGTAAGTAACGTTAGGAGTTACTAATTTATTTATTTACGTAGGAACAACTTGAAATAACTTAATGGGAATTAAGGATCTTTGTCGTCCAAATCCGCAGATAATATAATAAGGCTGGTTGATCTTCCGGGCCATCCGCATGCGTAGAATCCGCAGTGCTCTTTAGTGCGGATATTTACGGAAGATAGTCGCCTACAATGAGCGCACGGGTGGCTTGTGCAGAGTTCACGCACAGCGTGTCCCATACGGAGCAATCTGCACATGTCCTAACGCCACACGTGTTACTTTTTGTTACCTTATAGTTTTAAACGTTGCAAATGTCAAGTTTCAACCGGAGTCTTATTACAGAAATACTTATGTAATTGTGACTTTGTAAAGAAGTCAAGAGAAGTTTATTTTTATTCCACATATTATAGACATACTATCAGTTTTTTATTAAACAAATAATATTCTTCTTATCAAAAATTACATTTCCATATATGTATATTAATTAACAATGATACAACATAAGGTACATGGTTCGATGAGGAGTTCGTCTGTTCGACGAGCACTTCGGTTTATCATTCACCAAGCAATTACTGCTGAGCATTACTGCGTTCCGGTTTTGAAGGGTAAGGTTGCTGATGAAATTACAAGCACATGGGACTTGTCAACTATGTCTCAGAGTGTCCCGACACTCTTTGGGATATAAAGCTCTGAGTGGCACTGCAGCTGTTATGGATAGGCGTGTCACTTAACACCAGGCGAGTGACTTGTTCATCCCGTCACTTGGTACCATAAAAAAATACATCCCTCTGTTGGGCACGGGTTTCCTCTCAGGCGAAGGTTTAGGCCATAGTCCGCCACACTGGTCCAATGCAGTTTGGGGAACTTCGCACGTTTTCCAAGGGTTGTGAACGCAGATTATTCATCACGATATTTTCGATAATTCAATATCGTGATGAATAATTTAAAATTGGTAAATTTCGAATTAAATTTTGCACATAAATTGAGAGAAACTTTGAAGTGCCAGGTCGGAGTCGAACCCACGGTCTCTGCTAGAGAGGCAGTTCAAACCATTAAGCTACCATAGCACGTCGGCTGCCTTTCTTCCAATGCAAATAGTATAATCTGGTATAGCCGCTCACGCGATACATGCAGCGGTAGACGCATACCACACCTAGAGGTGCCGGTGATGATTTTATACCGATTTATCGGATATCGGAGTTATAACAGGTAAAAGAACTAATATTAATTGCTATTTTGGTAACTACTCTAGCAAACCATAAAGTTTTTAATGCCTGGGTCTGTCATTTAAAAAAAAGCAACTTCAAAAATACATCACTACAATCGTGTGTGTTATTGTTTGGGCTGGTGATTTCGGTGTTTATTTATTGAAAACATACCGTAAGTAGCATTTTTTAAGTTTACCCTGAATATGAATGTTTATAAACTATACTTTAAGGAGTAATTTCATGGTAAACGTTAGAACCACTCAAACGGAATATTATCATATTTATCCAAGTACGCCAAAAATTTCATTAGTGCTTTTTAAGTGCAGGATTTGCGGTGTATTACTGCATTTTATTTGAGATGTTTTTGTTGGTAGTATGGAGGGTATTTATTTAGCAATGCAGAATAATAATTTTTATTTATAAAAACTTGTATTTAAACTGAATGCTTTTCTAATTTGCGAAACCAAATAGCCGCCATTTTGCGGTAGGAGAAGCGCATCGCGTGAGCGGATAGTATTAAATAAAACGTAATTCGCTTGTGATGGTTTATTTCTTCAGTCAAAGTACAAAAGTAAAAAGACCACCATACAAAGGGTTCTGCGCTTATTTATACAAATTTCTTCCCGCCAAAACCACCAAACATCATCGAGGAATAGCTGTTTTAGCGGTATTTGGTATGACCAAAATAATACCAAAAGATGGCAACATATGGCAGATTACAAGCAAAGCCTATAGTTACGATACGGATTATAGCATTAAGAAATATTAATTGGCAATACCGATATAAAAGGAAAATGTCATCTGTAATTCAAATTTCTCAACACTAAGAACTTTAACTATAATACTTCATTTTATTGTAAAAAGGTGTAATAAATTCTATGTTACAGTTTGTAAAAGTGATATATTTCAATAACCATATTTGTCCGAGTATGATACAATATACAATGTAGTATGCAAAAAACGACCTGGTCATGACTGCAACCTAACAATAGATAAACCTTGCCTCATGATTTACATAATTTATAAGGGATATAAATCGATAAGTACTCTTCTCTAGAGATAGTCTCTACTGCTGCAATGGTTTTTTTTAAGAAACGCCAAATTTAAGGATAGCGAGATTTTTCTATGACGCGTAATTAGATAGAACTGTCAGTTTTGTCATAAAGTAAAATTCGACTCTATGGCCCTAACTATAAGATTCATAATGGGTTGCTCATTTCCTCGAGAAGTCATGGAGTTCAAATTCGCAGGCGTTGATGTTGTTGTTGAAGGGGGACCAGTTTGTAATGAGCTGAGGTCCGTATGCTGAGAATTTGATCAAACGATTAGTTCGGCACTAGTCTGCGGTCAGGCTAAGCAGGTCAGGTCACTCGGTTGGAAGGGGTGTGAGGTTGAAGTACTCGTAAGTTAGTTTTGCCAAATTCCAATTAACATGGCGTCTTCAGGATCGCGGCAGTTTCGTTGTTCATATGTGATACCTTTTATTTGGGAGACGTGTGCGCAGCGGCGCTCTTAGGGTGCGTTCTTATTATGTCGTAACGTGTCATTTGTCATTGAACCACTGCCGTGTCTAGCTGTTTTGTCGTGACGATAATTTATCGATCCACGGCAGCCGCCTTGTCGTTTGCATGACAGAATCGTTTGAAGCTGCGGTTACCTGTTGTCACGTTTTTGTCGTAACGTTTTATTTATCGTCGGACAACCGTCGTTCTAGCTCTTCCCACAATGGGAAATCTGTCATCGTAATGTCAAAAAAATTTTGACGACAATGATTCAAATTTTTGTTGTATTACAAAAAAGTAAGGTTTGGCAATTATGAATGAAAAATTATATCGATAAATGTCCACCACGACCACAGTTACAGATGTCGATTCTTTCATCAAAGTTTTAAATAACTTTTTGTCATAATGGTGGGTCTATTTCGTTAATCACTTCAAGAATTTTGAGTTTTATGGCTGCAATTGATTTAATTGGCTTCGTATAGACTCTGTCTTTAACATAACCCTATAAAAATAATCCAGCGGTGTTAAATCACATGATCGAGCTGGCCATTTAACGGCTGAATTTCGTGAAATTAAGCGATCGGGAAATTTAGTTTGCAATAAAATAATTGTTTTATGGCTGCGTGACTTGTGGCACCGTCTTGTTGTAACCACATGTCAGTGATATCCATATCATCAATAATAGGCCAAAATTTAGTTGTTAACATCTCTCTATAGCGTAATCTATTGATAGTAACCGTATTTCCGGTTGAATTTTCTAAAAAAAACGGCCCAGTGCCAACGGCCGATTTATGTGGACGAGCTCCCGAATGGGGCATGCCCGGGCGGCCGTGATCCGACGCGCGTTGCGGGGTGCATTCCGATTTGTATGAAGAGTATAGGCCGCACGCATTTTCTTACTTAACTTACCCACCAGCGGCGGATCCACACAGGCTGTCACGGGCGAGCACGAGCTCGTTCGGGTGGCCGTCTTTTCACGGCGCGTTTTCTAGAAACCATGGGAAGCCGCCTTTACGGTATTGCGGCGCCCTTATAGTGATCGATACCGGTATATTGTGCGACGATCTCGTTCATTAGTGGTTGTGGGGGGTGGCCCCTGACCTGTGTAATTGCGGCGTATAATCACTCAACTCTGATTATACACAGCAATTACAGAATTACGCTGTCAAATAATCACAAACTGGCCACCCCCTTCGCAACTGTACCAACACCAGCAAACTTGAACTCCGTGACTTTACGAGAAAATGTGCGTTCCATTGTGAACTTTATATATATAGAGTCACATTTCACTTTGTAATTGTGGTTCTAAACTGACAATTTCCTTCTAATCACGTGTCATAGAAATCACAAAACTTCCCTTTCTTTAATTCTTGAAGTTTATTATTAAAGAAAATTGCAACCATAGACGATATCTTTAAAGAAATGTGCTTATCCGGTTATGGCTACATTGAAGTCTACGTGTTACATGAAAATGTATGGAAAGACGACATGGGTCTAGATTCCTCACAAATTTGATTCAAAGTGTATTATTCCATAGCATTTAAGTTTATTTGTAAAGAGCAATCTCTGGAGTTTCTTGCTCGTTCTTCTCAGGGAAGTCAGTACAGTGAACAAGCAGTAGCTAAAATGGTGTTTGGGTAAAAAATGTCATAACATGAGTTCATAACCGTCTGTTTTTTTAGTTGTGAATTCAAAAATTACAATCGATTTCTTTGCTCGTGTTTTAAGACATTAAATCTGAAAGATTTCTTAGTTGGAAAGTAATTCTAACTGGGTAGAATCCCAGTTATTAGGAGCCATTACAAGTCATTCGTTTTTACGGTTATTTTTTTAATTTCCACTTCAATAATTACGACTTTAATCCACTTTTGAAAT